TGAGAGAGCCCAACTGAGTTCCCTATGGCTCCAGAGAGGCACGGAAAGTAGAGGGAGGGAAAGGAAGAGGGAGAGAGAGGAACACTGTGCCTGGGAAGGCCTGGGATAAGGCTGAGGGGGATGCACCTGCACTCTGTGTGAACTCACAGCCCAAGAGCAGACAGGATCCGGATGTCTCAGTGGACACCAGAGAGGAAAAGTATTGATGACCAAGCACCGGAAGTCCCTGATCCCCTCCCCCCAACACCTCTGGCACATCGGGAGCCCTCTAGAAAACTAGAGGCACCACTGGAGGAAAATGGCTGGGTAGTCCCTACATTAACAGGGATTTAAGTCCTTACTACCTGATGGAAAAGGGGCTGGAAGCAGAAATTGGGTTTGATTGTAGAAAAGTAAGGAAGTTAACATTTCTTGGACATGTAAGTTTGCATCCTGACATTTATACTATTTCAGTATTGTTTGATTTTTTAACAATGAGAATATAAGCATGTATTATTTATATAAATTAAAAATGATTTTTTGTATGATTCCACTTACATGGGGTATATAGAGTAGTCAAATTCACAGAGACAGAAAGTAGAATGGTAATTGCCAGGGGCTGGGGACAGGAGGAAGGGGAGTTAGTGTTTAATGGGTATGCAGTTTCAGTTTGGGAAGATGAAAAGTTCTGGTGATGGATGGTAGTGAGGGCTGCACAACAATGTGAATGTACATTTTAAATGGTTAAAATAGTAAATTTCATGTTATGGGGCTTCCCTGGTGGCACAGTGGATGAGAGTCCGCCTGCCGATGCAGGGGGCACGGGATCGTGCCCTGGTCCGGGAAGATCCCACAGGCCGCGGAGCGGCTGGGCCCGCGAGCCATGGCCGCTGAGCCTGCGCGTCCGGAGCCTGTGCTCCGCAACGGGAGAGACCACAACAGAGGCCCGCGTACCGCAAAAAAAAAAAAAAAAAAAAAAAAAAAAATTTCATGTTATGTATATTTACCACAGTAAAACAAATGAATGTAAAAGAGAAAAAAATTATTGTTGCAAAGTTACTGTAACGGCTTTGATTCTGGATGTTTCCTGAAAACTGGCATGGTTCACATTCACTCCATTACCACTTCTAGCTAACGTAGGCCCATCTGAGGCCCCTAGATTTGTCAGCAAGGCCCTATTTCTGGGTGCTTACCTTTCTTGCAAGAAAACAGCTTGCCACTTCCTTCTCAGCTTGGTCACACACTCTCTTGGTGGCCCTCTTGTTGCAGATCCCAAAAGAGAGGTCAGTGGGCAGCTTCGGCTCTGTCCTAAACACCAGGAAATAGGGCCTAAAACCAGTGACACCATCCTGGGGGCACAGTAAGCACCCTAGCTCTGCATGCCTCTGTTCCTGGCACACAGTTCTCTGCACATCTAACAAAGTTCTACTCAATCTCTTGGTTTGGGGTCCTCTTGAGGATGGCAGGAAGAAGTTGTATTCTTTTGGAAGTCTTTCAACAGAAACATTTCCCTTAGCAATTGACTCTCTCTCTCTCTCTCTCTTTGGCAGTGGAAGCGTGGAGTCCTAACCACTGGACCACCAGGGAATTCCCAGCAGTTGACTCTCAAAATCTCTCCTCTAGTCAGAATAGATTCCATTAGGGAGACTGTAAACGGAGATGATGAAAATTCTTCCAATCAGCAGGTGTTTCTTGAGCACCTCTGTGTGTTCAGCATCGCTGCAGGAACTTTGGATAAGTATATACTAGAGAAGTAGCATCTAATCATGAAAGTAGAGTTTCCAGATCAGAAACAATCAGAAAAAAAAGAAATTCCTAATCTGTGGTGCTGTAAAAGAGCAATGCAGTCTGGCAAAGCCAAGGAAGGCTTCCCAGCGGGGATGAGACTAGAGCGGGGCCCTGAAGGAGGGCTTGGATTTGGATAGGAAAGAGAGGCAACAGGGCATTTGAAGGAAGCCACACACAAAGGAAGTAGGAGCAGACTGAAGGTTGTGTGTAGAGAATTTGTTATGATTCATTCCTGGAGTATGTCCTGTGTGCTCAGGCATGACACTAAGCAATAGAAAACAGACCACCTGTCCTCAAAGAGCTCTAACCTGGGAGGTGGTGAATGGGGGGAGATACTAAAACAAATACAGGTGATGTGTATTAGTCCACAAGAATGTTAAGCCCCCAGAAAGTAGAAACCTTATCTGTCCTGTTCATCACTGTATCCTCAGTACCTAGAACAGTACTAGGCACAAATTAGGTGCCCAATAAGTGCATACTGAATGATGGAATGCTACAATGCAGAGATAGGATAATAGCAATATTGATAGTTAGCATTTATTGATCACACAAATGTGCCAGACAATATGTAAGAGTTTTACATACATTATCCTATTTGATCATCCAGCATTTTGAGAGTACTATAATTATCTCATTTCACAGATTTGGGAACCAAAGTTTATAGAAGTAACACTTGGACTTCCCTCGTGGTCCAGTGGTTAAGACTCTGCACTCCCAACGCAGGGGGCCCGGGTTCCATCCCTGTCAGGGAACTAGATCCCTCAGGCCGAAATGAAGATCCCGCCTGCTGCATCTAAGACCCAGCGCAGTCAAATAAATAAATAAATATATATGTGTGTGTGTGTGTGTGTGTGTGTGTATATATATATATATTTTAAAGAAGTAACACTTGCCTTAAGGTTACCTACACAGCAAGTGACCGAAGGGAGATTTGAATTCATGACTGCCTAACTTCACAGTCCATCCTCTGAACATAGAGACTACTGTTCAAAATGCTGTTTAGGGAAGTTTTTCTGGTAGCTGATTGAAATGCGCCGGGAAAGGCCCAAGAAAGCGAGACCATCGCAGTGAAAAACAGCAACCGCAACGTGTATGAACTAAAGCGGTTACAGTGGGAATGGAGAAGAAAGGATCTCCTTTTGCGGGGCCTTAAAGGGCTTCTAAAGAAAGTTCAGGGCTTGGTGACTTATTGGATATAAGAGATGACTAAATTTCTCGCCTGGGAATACGAAGAGTAGCCTCGAGAGAAATAGCTTTTCTCTAATTCCTAGTTCGACAGTACACTTTAGATAGATGACCCTAATCTCTGGGTCTGCCAGTTCCGCAAAGCACTTAATCAGGTGCTGGTCATCTACAGTAACGGCAAGCCAGCATGAAAAGTCACTCTAGACTGCAGAATAATAAAAGCGTGAAAGAAAGAACAGGAAAGAAAGAAAGAAGAGCGTGGAGGATACACACACAAGCCTGTTCCAGGAGCTGTCGCATCCCAGAGGCGGGCGGGTACTACAAAGGGAAAGGTGGGGCTTGTCTATGAACTACAACTCCCAGAAGGCATCGGGCAGATCACCAAAGTTTCCGGCCAGAGCTTACTTCCGGTATTTCCGATGCTGACGCTCTCTTCCGGTGTTGGTGCCCCCCCCCCCGCCCCCCCGAAAGGCTTTGAGAGTGCGCGCGGTGAGTTCCGAGGCACTGGGGGTGCCAGCGGGAGCCTGGGAGTCTCACGTCCGCACAACACTCAGCGGCTGAGTGTTAGCTCGGGGAGGGCGGGGAGGAGAGAGGGCATGCCGGCGGGAGGACGTGTAGTCTCGGCAAGAGGAGGGGAGGGGGCAGAGCGGACTGAGCTCTCGTAGGGCCCCAGAAAGGGATGTGGAGGGCCAGGACGAATAGGATCCCGGGGGAAGGATGGAGGATGGGATACAGGGGCGTGGGGGAGGACCCTGCGAGCGCGGCGTGGGATCACAGGGAAGCTGGTGGAGAAGGAGGAGCAGCGGGAAGGCAGCAGCCGTGGGGGACTCCTGCGTGAAGGAAAGCTAGAGGCTGTTGCAGGTCCGAGATCGGCCGAAATCCGGCGGCCTAAGGAGTCTGGCCACATGCAGTCCTCTCAGAAGATCGCACCAGTTGGGGAGCACCCAGGGCACTGGTGGCTTAGAGACTGCTCTGTAGAAGGGGCTGCTGCTTTGATAAGCTCAAAAGAGTTTTGATAGACTTTGTAAGAAAGGGCTGTCAGGAAGCTCTTGCCGGTTTTACAGGCTTGGGTTGACTGCTCACTTTGCTTTTTTCTCCAAAGATGAGGCTGCTGGCATTCCTGGCGTTGGCTCTATTTGCTGTCACTCAAGCAGAGGAAGGAGCCAGGCTTTTGGCCTCCAAATCACTGCTGAACAGATATGCCGTGGAGGGGCGAGACCTGACCTTACAGTACAACATCTACAATGTTGGCTCAAGGTAAGGAGGCCCTGGAGCTATAGGTTGGGCCCTTTTCAGGTTTCTTAGATTTCCCAGCTGGGAACAGGGACCAACAGTGATTTATCTTTGGGAGATTTCCAGCAACAGATATCATGAGTGAATGAATATACTGCTGGATCTACTTCTGGAAGAGGAGGACATTCTTACCTAAGCTACAGGAAACCGTCTTCCACTTTTTGAGCTGGAAGAGTTTCAGAGTGGGGAAGAAGCAAAAATTGTGGTGAAACAGGGAGAGGAAGATGAGAAGGCAGAAAATGTGTGATCCTTCGTTACCTCAGGGGTTTAGTTTCAGCTTCCTTTCTTTCATTAGCATTTTTGTTGTCTTTTTTTCACTTTATTCCCTTTAATGTTCTTTTCCACATGCATCTTGCTCCTCTTCCCCTCCTTACACACACACACACACACACACACACACACACACGAGAAGAAATTGGGGCAAAAACGGATTCAGGCCCATTCTTTCCTAGATATTTGAGTATTTTGGTGCCCAGAATTCAGGCCTTGGCTGGGATTCTTCAGTGCAACAAACCCAAATAACTGTGACTCATATCTGTCTTTTAAAGTTCTGATTTTTTAGGACAGGCAGGCAGATTTGATTGCTGATTCCTTTAATTTTATACCCATTGCTAACCTTTCTTCGTTTCCTCCCTTTTCTAGTGCTGCATTAGATGTGGAATTATCTGATGATTCCTTCCCTCCAGAAGACTTTGGCATTGTCTCTGGAATGCTCAACGTCAAATGGGACCGAATTGCTCCGTATCCTCTTGACACTGGGTGATGAAGGCTGGTGGTGGTGGGTGGGAGGGCGGTAATGTTGAAGCAAATCAGCAGAGTCATTCTTGTTGCCACTCTGGATAAGATGGGGCAAGAGAGACTGGTGAGAATTGTGTGAGCATGATTTAGGGTGGGCCTGAGGAAGGAGGTTCCTGAAGTTCAGGTCATAAAGTTCTAAAACATTCTGTATCGGGAGAATGTAGACAGATGTTTGTGGCTGGGCGAGGATGTTTAAGGTGCTTTTAAAAGAAATTCAGTGGGGGGCTTCCCTGGTGGCTCAGTGGTTAAGAATCCGCCTGCCAATGCAGGAGACACGGGTTCGAGACCTGGTCTGGGAAGATCCCACATGCCGTGGAGCAGCTAAGCCCGTGCGCCACAACTACTGAGCTTGTGCTCTAGAGCCTGCAAGCCACAGCTACTGAAGCCCGCACGCCTAGAGCCTGTGCTCCGCAACAAGAGAAGCCACCACAGTTAGAAGCCCATGCAATGCAAGGAAGGGTAGCCCCCGTTCGCTGCAAATAGAGAAAGCCGTGCACAGCAACAAAGACCCAACGCAGCCAAAAATAAAATAAAGAAATAAATTTAAAAAAAAAGAAATTCAGTGGGATGCTAGGTGGAGGACCTGGATGACTCTTTTTTTTTTTGGCTGCGTCGGGTCTTAGTTGCGGCACAAGGGATCTTCGTTGTGGTGCGTGGACTTCTCTCTAGTTGTGGCGTGTGGGCTTTCTCTTCTCTAGCTGTAGCGCACAGGCTCCAGGGCACTTGGGCTCTGTAGTTAGTGGCACGTGGGCTCTAGTTGAGGCGCACGAGTTCAGTAGTTGTGGCACGTGGGATCTTAGTTCCCTGACCAGGGATCGAACTCGCATCCCCTGCATCGTAAGGTGGATTCTTTACCACTGGACCACCAGGGAAATCCCCTGGGTGACCTTTTAAAGACTCTTCTTCAATAAATCCCTTATTCGGATCTACTGGTTATTTCCTGAGTGTTTTTTGTTTGTTTGTTTTTTGTGGTACGCGGGCCTCTCACTGTTGTGGCCTCTCCTGTGGCGGAACACAGGCTTTGGACATGCAGGCTCAGCGGCCATGGCTCACAGGCCCAGCCGCTCCGCGGCATGTGGGATCTTCCCGGACTGGGGCACGAACCCGTGTCCCCTGCATTGGCAGGCGGACTCTCAACCACTGCGCCACCAGGGAAGCCCTCCTGAGTGTTTTGAATTAGATTTTTTTTTTTCCCTGTGATTTAAAGTATATTTAGATTTTCTGGCAAGGGTAAGTGTTCTCTTTGGGTTTTGGGGGGTTTTGTTTTATATTTTCAAGAACTTCCTGCAGTTTTAGGCAGCAAAAGATTTTCTGTGACCTTAAGTGACTAATTTTTCATCCATAACCTATATTGCTTTAAAAGTTTAATTTAAACACCTCAATACTGAGTATGTCATAGACCCTTTAAGACTTGGCTAGAAAGACATCATATTATACCACATACTTCAGGCTTAGAAAAAAAGCCTGTGTTTATTATTTTCGCAGTATATTGCAGATGTGAAATCATTACATGTGTTGGCAACTCTTTTTGTGAATGGTGTGTTTAGTCCCTAAGTTGAAAGTTTGTTACAACTGTAGCTTCATCTTTTTCCCTCCTTAACTCTTGCGTCAGTGCTAGCAACGTTTCCCACACCGTGGTCCTGCGCCCTCTCAAGGCTGGTTATTTCAACTTCACCTCAGCAACTATTACTTATCTGGCCCAGGAGGATGGGCCCGTTGTGGTGAGTTACCCAAACCCTTAGTTGGATGGGGCTCAGCTCTGCCTTCCTTTGAAAACTCTTGTAGAAAATCTCCAGAGCAGGTGCTAAATTCTGAGGAAGATAAGAAGGACCAAAAACTTGAGATATCATCATAGGAAGGAAGTATGTTTCAAATAGGAAGGAAGTATGTTTCAAATTATAAAGTCTCAGAATCAAGCAATTGAAATGAATGGCAGGGGAGTACTGTAGCATTCCCTTCCGCTTCACTTTTAATCTGTACAGTGTCATGTGCTGCCCAGTTTATGGCCATCATTGTCTTTCCCATCTGTCTTCTGTGCTGCCATCAGATGATTCCTGGTCTCTGCTGTGTCTGTATCTTTCCCTTGCTTAGAATGCCCCTGCTTCTTGCAGCAAGGCTGAGTTTCCTGCCTCTTCTCGCCGTACCCTCCAGCATTCTCACTGTGTTCTGCCTCTCCCTTCCTCTCTCTGCCCTCGAAGACCCTCCGTCCTAATTAGACCAAGCTCCTTCCTGTGGCACCTCCCCCGCTCTCAGTGCTCCTTCTTTCCACTTTGCCTTTGGTCTCTGCATGAAGTACTCTCTGTACTCTCTCTCCTCTGCTTCATTATCCAAAGCCGCCTCAAGACCTAGCTCTGAGCTGCATCTCCTTGATTCTGTCTCCTGCTTTTACAATTCATATCGCTCTTTCCTACTCATTCTTTCACTAAACAGTTACTGACTGCATCTAAACTTCTAGAGCTCTTATAGTCTATGCCACTTGAACATTTAATTATTGACCATCTTTATTAGTTCTCTTTCCTGTATCTAGGTCTTTCCCTCACTCCCATCTCCCAGTTTAATTATAAACTCCTTGAAGCAAGGGACTTTGTCTTAGATTTCTTTCTGTTTTCCATATAGAATAGAAACCCAGCGATAACCAGTCTCTTGACTGATTGATGTAAAGGTCAGCAGACATTTATCGAGCCCCCTGCAAGGTGCTAGACTCTAGGAAATACCAAGCAGATTAAGGTACTGTCCTAGCCCTCAAAAAGCTTGGGTCATGAATTTATAAGTACAGATGGGCTTTAGGCTACTTAGTGAGTGCACAGTAAGGAAGGGACTTAACAGAGTCAACCATAGAGCTAAAAGAAATCCAAGAGTCTCAAACATTCAGTGCACTCTCTGAGTTATCTTTTTTTTATAAACCATGTGGAACCATATTCTTATAATCTTGGTTATGTTTTCATATCTTCTATCATGTGTGCTTTTAGAACCACCTCTAAGACTCTGGTTCCACCTGGTCCTTGATGGGTTAAAAGACATAAAATTAAAGGCTCAGCAGCCACTTTAGAACAAAGTTGTTTGCAATGCGCTTCAAACTCTTGGCCTCCTCTCCAAGACAAAGGAATGTGGGGCAGACTCAGCCCCTCCACTAGTAATGTACATTTGGGTAGGGCTTTATACTTTCCAGAATCCTTCTCATTAGTTTGCTTGAGCCTCATGTCAACTTGTGAGGTACAGAAGAGTGTTTCCACTTGAGGAATGGGGAAATGATTGCCATGGGCAGAGGGGCCAGTGGTGGTGAGCAACCCTTTCTAGAGTCTGAGGCTAAGATAGAAGGGTTTGGCTTTAATTTCAGCTGCATACCTGTCCTACCTTTTTTTAGTAAATGCTCATCGTGTGTCTCCTGGCTCCTAATTTACTCATCTTTATAACACACTAAGAATCATCCAGCTCTCTCTAGTTCAAAAACTTTTCCTCATCTTGTTGCTTTCTTGGGCCTTTGGGAGCTAAGAATCTATTGCTTAGAACTGGGTTGGTTGGAACTGCCCTTTCCCAGATGAGAAAGAGCTGGAGACTTGCCTTAATGCCCTTCTTTTCTACTTTTCAGATTGGCTTTACCAGTGCACCCGGACAGGGAGGAATCCTGGCTCAGAGGGAGTTTGATAGGAGATTCTCCCCCCATTTTGTAAGCTTTACAGTCTTCTTGGCATTCCCCTGGGAGTAGAACACGCTTTTGGTTCTGGGACTGTGTGGCTTCCTTAGAGGATATGTTTAGTTGGTTGGTTCTTGTCATATCTGTGTTTTGATGTCTGATACACACAGCCATCAAATATCCTGATTTAACCACGGTTAGAGATTTTTGGCAATGAGATCATAATTGCCAGAACCAAAAAAAGCTGCCCTTTTTCTCTGCTCAGCCTTGAGTAGAGCTCCATCTTGGAGTCCTGGGTCTAATTCGAGGATTAAAAGTATATCTGCTTAGATTAAAAGAGTTGCAGAGCATCGGGAAGGTTACATGGGAACTTTGGTGTAGTCTAGTCTAGGGGAGAATTCTTCGAAGATTTGCCTAAAGTACTGAATGAGGAGACTCATTTATTCATTCATTCAGGGAATAATTATGAGGTTCCTAATTACATGCTCAGTTCTGTGCTTTGCTTTGAGAAAACAACGCAAGACACAGTCCCTTTCATTAAAGATCTTATGGGCTCATAGAGGCTTCAGCGCAAGTCAGTGGGGGAAGAGTGCTGTGGTGGAGATCATACACAAGGCTCTGGAGGAGATGCAACAGGAACACCTAACCTGGTCTTTGAGAGTCGGGGAGGATTTTCTGGAGGAGGGAGGTTTAACTTATTAAAGAGGAGGTAAGGAAGGGGAGGCACCCTAGGAAGAGGGAGTAGCTCAGAAGTGAGAAAAAGCGTGGTGCAATCCAGGAATGGCAGGTAGTTTAGTGAGGCCAGAGAGCAGAATGTGGGACGGAGGACTGGAAGAGAGAGCTGGAGGTGGGGGCAGGGGTTAGGTCGCAGGAGGCTTGACTGTTAGGGCAAGACCTGGGCATCTCCCTCCTCAAAGATTGTTTGGAAGAGAGAAGCTTCTCTTCCAGATTGGGTTGGGTCAGGTGAGACCTTTGGTTTCATAGCTCAAAAGATATAGATTAGTCTTTAGCGAGCCATTCTGTGTCCAGAGTAGCCAGAGAGGAACCTTCCTGCGAAGGTTCTGCTTAAAATTTGGGCTGGACTGCTCCCTTTCTCATTGGACCCCTTCCTTCCTGGTCCCCTCCTGTGCCCTAATCCAGACTTCTAAGCAAGGCCTTTGTCTTCCACAGCTGGACTGGGCAGCCTTCGGGGTCATGACTCTCCCTTCCATCGGCATCCCCCTGCTGTTGTGGTATTCCAGCAAGAGGAAATATGACACCCCCAAAACCAAGAAGAACTGAGTGGGGCTTCCAGTCCTCCCTTCCCAAGGAATACAGGTGCTTTCCAGACTCCAAAGGGTATCTCAAATGCAATCTCTTCTCCCTTAGCCCTTGGCCACCTCCTTGATCCTGCCCTGCTCTCA